TATACAAACATACACACACACACACATATATATATATATATATATATGCGCACCATGATGATAGAGAAAATCACGACACTGTATAGCTACGCCGAGCCAGGTGTTCCACATTCTGGTCGATTTGTAATTATGTTTGTGGATGTGCAGATTTCCATGCCTCAGTCACATGATCAATACAATGGATTGAAAACAGCGAATACGGAGATGAAAAAAATCACTACAAAAGTAGACACTTTGACACAGGCGCAATGGAAAATATGTACCCACAGAAAAATTCAGCCCACGCGAATAAAAACCATCGCATAGCACAACATAACAAAACACATCACAGTACATACTCCAGTCACGCCGCCCTGATGAAACTCCCTCGAGTTCCTGCTGCTAAAACACGCCAGCGTGTTCACATCATACAGTCGTAGCACTGAATGTGCCGTACCTACTAATAAGTAATCTCCTCCCGGGTGGAACGCTATGGCATTCACCGCATGGGATTCCTGCAGACAGGCGAGGCAGTGTGCATAAGTTCGTGAGGACAGGTGATGTTGAAAGGTTTTGTGCGTATCGTGATATTTGTAATTTTCTAAAATATAGAGCCGCGTTCAAACGCAATAGATGAATATGTCTGCCTGCGCAATCGTAAACTTGTATGACGAATATTAATTTGTATGCGTTTAGGTATGTATCTGTAGTTCGAGTATGCATACGTGTATGTCTGTGCACTTTATGTCTGCAACTTATATTGTAGGTTTTACACATATGCGCATAAATAATCATGTGTGTGCGCATATGCGGTGTATGTGTGTCGTGCTCGCATATATGCATCACATTTGTGGATGTGAAGTTTTCCTACGTACTTCCATGCGAAAAATGTGTGTAGTTCTCACCGCCTGCAATCTCGTATAAGTCCTGGCTATATACTCTACGGGCAATACCATTGGAACGTTGGTACTGTAGTATATACATCTGTACACTATACTACTACGCCTGGGTGTTAAAAAAAATTACACCACATAATAGGCGTCAAAGAAACATTGATATCAACAGGATACTCATTCCTGTCATGTATGTCTATACGGAAAACCCCGAAGGCAAATCAACATACCGTCAAGGATTTATTCGCCCGCTTATAGTTGAGTTTTTGGTAATCAAACATTTTTACTGTGTTGTCTAAGCCTCCTGCGGCGAGTAAACTCGAGCGCGGATGGAACGCCAGTGCTTGGACCGGCTACAAAGAAGTGTAGAAGATATCCAAAAAAAGGGGCGATAAGAATATATCATCATGTTGGAGTATGGCAATACAAGGAAGAACGAAGTATCAGCGTACTTTTATCTATAGATGTTTGTATATGGTGAGCACATATGTCGGTGCCGCAGCATGGGTTTGTGATTTGCAGTGTCATTCAGGTGTTCATTGTGACAGAACACCATTACAAACACTTCTAGGTGAAATGTATCCTAGGACAACTAACAGAGACACTCGTGGTTGTATATGCACATATGTACTTTAGCAATTAAAATACTAGCATAGTACAGAGAGCTGATTTGAATTTACAGCATGTGTAACACTCGCAACAGTACAGGCTATCGTATATACTAAACGAGTTACAAACGAGGCACAGGACAGTTTTATACTGTAATGTCCATTCGTGTCGAATTCATCTGGCGTGAATCTGTCTTTTGCTAAGCCCGCACCACATTACGAGCTCACGCGACCAGGTAGTTATAATGCAGCACACTCGATTATGTAAAGTATATACCGTGAATAATGTACGTTTCATTTATATATTACTGTCCCCTCGCGCGAGAGTAGGATACGTACCTGTGTGTGGTCGTAGAAGGTCTTTAGTACGCGTTTGACGTCGTCGTTTGAGTCGAATTTGCGCATAAGCCGACTTGTGTCTAATAATTTAATTGACGCATCGCTCGAACCGGTAGCTGCGAATTGGCCTGGATGTGACGCATATTTCAATATATATATATATATATATAAATATACATATATATATGTACA